AAGTTTATGATGTTTTTTAGAATCAAATAATTGATCATCTGTCTCTTGTATTTTGTGAATAGACAAGACATAGAAAAGTTGTTTGGTTCAACATACCCATATTTCGTTAAACATTTTCTAATTTTTTTTAAAATATTGATATTCATGTATTATATACTTGCAATTTACATATAACATAGATCCAGGAGCGAACCTATTAAGCCTCAAACAGGGTTCTGTACATCTGCTCAACTTCTTTGCGTAGGTATAATCTATTTTGCTGTACAAAAGGTGCACTTGTTAGACTTTGAAGAGTGCTCCGAGGTATTAGAAAATACAAACCAAAAAACATGAAAAAAGTCTGTAAAAGTTAATCAACCTGAAAAAATCTCTCAAAATAATCAACCAAAAATAAGTTAAAAGTTACTCTGAAACATTGGAATTCAAGTAAAACACATCAGACGATTTAAAGATGTATTCAATCAACAAAAAAATGTAAGGAATATTATAATTATATATAAAGTAAATGGAGTAGGTTATTAAAGAAAATTTGAAAGATGTAAAAGAAAGTTGATAACGACGACCACTTCCTACGCAATTATTAAGTAAACCAACATAAAATTGAGAGCAAAAAAGTCAAAATGTGAATCGCGAAGGATTATTTGGGAAACGCAACCAAAAATACTTCAAATAAAATTAATTTGAAAAAAAAAATATAAATAAAAAAGTAATAAATGGTTTCGTAATTGGTGTGCCGCGATGAAGCGAAACCGTCCCAAAATTGAAGACAATATTCATCAAGGTTGTATGGAGTTAGGTTTTAGAGTACGAATGAGCTGGTTTTTACATATATAAAAATAAACGTTTTTAATAATAATATTAATATTAATATTAATATATTTTATGCATTTATATTTGCGGCCTCACTGTCATATGACCTAATCATATACCATGGAGGTCAACTATTGTCAAAATATCCGAAATAATTATTTCTTTTCTTTTTCCACCATGCATGTTTTATATCTGAATTTTATATATATATATATATATATATATATATATATATATTGGTTCTGGTGAGAATGAAAGTTATAATAAGAAGAGTAAAAATGGATTTTCACCTTTAGATCAATCATAATTGAAGATCAACTTAATGCGATACACTAGATTAATGCTTGTGATAAGCGCAATTAATGAGGTGGACTTGCGATTAAAAGAGATCAATAGTCTAGATCTATTTTTATGGTGATTTACAAGGATATTGTGCTCTTCTCTTTTAATTGGATTAGACTTAGATCGAAGTCTTGTAATTCCCTTGATTGGAATGTTTGGTATATCAACCCTTCAGCGGCTCTTTTGTAATGTGCTAGCCTCTTGCTAGCCTTGGTGGTTTTTAATAATATTGCTGTTTCTAAAAAAAAAAAAATAAGTATCAATATTTGAGCATTAAATAAATCATTTAAAAGTTTGGGCATTGGTTGTTTATTGTGGGCTCTCCTTGACATAAATATACATATTAAATGTTAAAGATAGGGCATTGGGGTCCTCTTGAACTCTCTTTAGACACTTGAACTTGCACGATGGTTTGGGAAATAGAGGCTAGTGTGGGTTACCACGCGACTAAACTCGTGTGATAAGTTGCATGCGACACTAAAATACCTTGCCTAGACAGAACCTAACGCGAGTTTCAATGCATGTTACCGTGCGACTAAAGTCATTTGACAAGTTGCGTGCGACACTGGAATACCTCGCCTAGACATAAACTAACACGAGTTTCCATGCGGGTTAGGTCGTGCAAAAAAGTCGCGTCTGCCACTATCGGATACGTGCAGTTATGACAGAAACGATAAACTCTATCATCGTTTAATTCGCTAGATTCAAGTACGAAACTTGAATTTGACCGTTGTATCCTCCGGACAAATGCCTATACTATTGGCGAAATTTTGTCTTAGGACACTGCTTCCATCCAAACCTCAATCAATTACGTGTTTCCGAAGAATCAACAAATTACAAATAAGAACTACATGTATATCGATTGTTATTATTGATTTATGTTTAATTCATAGATTTGTACAAGAATTTTGAATTTCTTGTAAATTTATTTTCATTTTTATATGCATCTTTCTACTTAAAGATTTGATTACTCCAAAGAGAGGATTCAAATACAAACTATGTAATGCTTATAAACAATACAAACCATAATTAATGACCATATTAGGATACAATTGAGATATTTATAGGTATTTATCTTAAACAGTACTTTATGCATAAAAAATGGTTTTTAAGAGTTTTTGTCAATGTTTTATAATATAGTATAGATTTTAAGATTTATAAAATGTATTAACTATTAATTTATGCTTACAATATACAATAAAGAGGTGTCTATTATCAACACTGTTATCATTGTCGTCATGCCATTCATCCTAAGCTTCAATAGATAAGCATCGCTAATACCTAGAAAAAAAACTATATCAATCAATACAAGTCATAAACGCAACTACTTGAAAATATGGGGCACTTTGCTTTCTCCCGACCTATCTGGATCACCTATAGTAAAGATATCGGTGAGGATACTATTATTGAAAATATGTTTTCAGTTGGTGTTGTGTGCTCTTATATGCTTGCAATTGAGTGTATCAATCTTGTTCTCACAAAACGACCCTTGAGTCTGAAGGAGTGGGCTGGACATTGTTGAGTCATATGTCAATTGTTGTGACTTAACATGAGATGAATCTATCACATCTACTCCAATAAAATAAATCAACGTTTTAGTATAAATTATGAATTAATCAGAGAAAATGAAACTTATACTTGCCCAGACGGGCCCCGACAAATGTCCAGTCAATTGTATTCCTACAATAACTTGTTTAACAAAAAATAAAATAAAGTTGAATTATCTACCGAAATTTTGACATCTCACATATTTAAGGCCATTTTTTCAAAAAAGCATACAAATATGTGGCAATCAAGTCAAAGTAACTAAACACGTAAATCACTGGCTAATGTGTATGTAACAACTTTTTGAAAATAAATAATATTTATATATGAAAAATAGTCACACACAATCCTCACATCTAGTGAGGTTTGTAACTTTGATATCCTAAAGGGTATGCTCTACTAGTAACTCGGATACCGTTTGGCCAAAATATGAGATGTGGTGGCCTATGTAGTGTATCTAAACCTCATCAAGTAATGACTTCACCTTAAATAATGATAATAATGAATCATCTATCCATGTATATGTGATGTCCTATAGCCCAAAGCATACTGATCCAATCCAGATCAACTTTATATTAGTGTAGAACTTGTTGGCATCCCTGAACTTTAAATATTAGGAGCTCACAGATCTACTTTTATATCCACATGGGACGAGTTCTTACATACTCACCCACTTATATGGACCATCCTAGAATCTTCCTTATAATCGATTATGAGAGATTCGCCTAAGATGTTACAAACACCTTCTTCGATGACTTATTATGCACAATGAGGTCCAATTGTACAAGGCTTGATGCCGATACCATTTTAACGCCCCATAGTTCAAAGCAGCAAACTAGCCCAACAAATCTAAATCAACACTTAAAAGTACGGTGAAAGTTATTGGTAGTTAACAACTTTAAACTTATAAGAAACTAACAAATGTACTTTTCTATCTATATGGACAGATTGTTACAACATTCAAAGAACACGCTCATCGTTGTTCTCAAAGATGTTTTATAGTGGTAGTGTCATTATAAGAATTGAAAAAAAAACCCCAACCAAAGTTATAAAAAAACGCACATAATGAAATCACTTACTCACTCTCAACCATGCCCAAATGGTCTCCCATCATTCTGGGATTAAAGTAAAGTTCATCATTAACATATATAACTTGACAACTTGATGTTAATTAATAAATTATAAAGCTACAATATCAGCGGGAAAGTTGATGATCGCATGTATACGACATTAATATAAAATAAAAAAAATTATAAAGCTATCTTTTTTTTTTTGAAAAGAACTTATTAAGATTTATATACCTATCTAATCGTAATCAAAATCATAGTCATTGTCACGCCCATTACTACGTTTTTGTCCGCATACACCATTAGTACTGTTTTATATCATGACAAAAAAAACTGAATACATATTTGAGTATTTAAAAAAAAAGTACAAATAAATTAATGTATGATATACATGGTACAAGTGCCGTGGTACACTGATTTTGCCATTCCCACGTATTTTAAATTTGATTACTTTGGTTTTAATTAATTATTTTTGTTCCAAAACTTTAAAGCAATGAATGAGGTGCATGTGTACATGTAGAGCTGAGGCCAATCAACATTAATTAGTAGACTGTCAAATTCCAAAACCATTCACAAGAGATTTTATCAGACAATGTTTGTCTTAATTAATTACATAATCAATAATTACTAGTTGAAAATGTCGTGCTAAGCTTACATGTTTTGAATTGAATACTTTGCAAATAACAGGTCAAAGTAATTATATCTTATTGAAATGTAAATATTACTTAAATTTAAAATTTACTTAAACATTTGCTTGTTAAATCTGTTTTTTGATTCGTAATTTATGTAATACAAACTAAGAATGTGCATTATTTTACATGTTAAAAAAATCGACAATATTTGACAGGATTATGTTTATGTTTTTGCGTACTTAATTACGTACTTATTAATGAAATTAAGATCATTTAGCTTATAAATACTTAGAAAGAGTATGATTAATAATCGGTTTCGTAATCAGTAATAAATATTTAGTCGTTTTTGTCTGATTTAAATTTAGAAAATATTAAATAAGGACAAAATTTCTCTAGTCAAATTCGAGTAACATCGATTATCTGTTGAATTTAAATACAGATTCGAAGTATTTTAAAATAAAATAGAGGAATCAGGTGAAAGAGAACAAATTGTTTGAATAATGATTTCACATGGGAGGGGTTGTGATTATAAACTCTACTGGCAAATAATAATTATTAAATGAAAATAAAAATGAAATGATATGATGACAGTGGACAACTGGTGTTGGAATTTCTCTACAATTTGCATTCATAATAATAAAAATCAATTAAATCCACATGGTAATTTACAAAAGTGACCCCCAATCTATAATCAATTTTCCATTTCCCTCTTTTCTCAATTTTCACTTTCTCTGCTGTGACTCCGATTCAAACCCCGGGACGACTCGGCCGTGCCATCTCCGTTACGTTGGTGAGTCAACTCAGTAACACTCCCACCACCACCCCCAACCAGTTACATTTTTGGGGTAATTCCGTAAAAATACAAGATAAAAAAGGGGAAAAAGAATTCAAAAGACTTCTTCTCATCGATACCCACAAGCTTTACCTTCGAGTATTGCGAGCTGAAATTACTAAGAAGTCCCCGAACCGGCGTTACTCAGTTCTTTGTGCATGATCGGACGAGTCGACTCGGGGTCAAAATCGAAGTCAATTCGTCTGTTTTATTTTTATTTTTGTTGTTTTATTTTTTCGGCTTATCGGAGGAGAGGTCGAGATTCCGGCCAGAAATCAAGATTGCTCCGGATGCCGACGTGGCAGTGTCTTTGAAACTCTTCAAGATTCACGAAACGGCTAGCTGCAGAGTCGGACCGGGACAAGAACCGGATTATCTCTTCAAATAAATACTCATCACAGGGGATCGCTAGCGGACCGGAGTTAGAAAACCCGAACTCCTCTTCCGCTTGGACTAGAAGCTTCTTGAAAACCGGGTGGTTGAGGTAAGTCGCTCGGACGACAAATCTCCGGCAATTAGAACCAACGCAGACAGCGACGTGGCCGGCGGGGACGTCGGAAGGTATACATTTACGGGATGCCATTGCCGCTTTCTTTCTCCACCGTCGTAGCATCTGTCTGAGCTGAACAATGTGGCGGATTTTGCTGCAACCTGACATTTTTTTGGGGTTCGTGGTGAAGTTGTTGTTGTTTTCAGTTGGTACGGTTCTTGTGAAGGAAGAGAGACGGAGGAGAGAGAGGGGTCTAACGGTGAGAAGGAATGGTTGGTTTTATAAGAATCCATGTACCAAAATGCCCCTGCTTTTCAATATTATTACAACTGTTTGACGGCTGTATGCCTTTTCTTTATTATTTATTTACCCTTTTTCTCTTTTTATATTCATATTTCTATCTTTCTTTTTAAAAGAACTCTACTTTAATAAATTTATCTATATATTTTCATTTTTAATATTAAGAAAAACATTACTTTTGAAAAATACTTGAATTTCTTAGAAAAAATAATATCATATACACAACAAAATCAAAATTATTAAATGCAAGTAATTGTTATTAATGAACTAAAATATCAAATTATATTTATTCACAATAATATTACATTTCCTTTCGTTGCATATACAATCTTTAACTTCAAGTCAATCTTACTTCTTTTTTCGTTTAACCATTCTCCAATTTTTTTACCATATATAATAATTATTTTTAATTTTAAATATAAAAAAATAAATTTAACGGATTATTATATATTTTAAAACGTAATTATAACTATATAAAACGTATTATACAATTGAAATTAAATAAGACAAATCATAAAAGTAAATATGAAAATATATCAATACTATGTTTTATCTATAGGGAATTTAAAACTAAGAATTTTAGTATATTTTTTAATTTTTTTTTGTTAAAGTCACTTTTAATTAGATAAATTTTATTTAAAAATAATTAAACCAACCAATAAACAAATGCCACATATCAATTTCATTAGTAAAAAGGCGCCCCAATCTTGGATTGTTGAGTAAGAAGGATTGTTAGAGATTGGTTCCCTATTTTTATTTCCATTTTCTTTTAAACTATTTTTGTTTCATTCATGATGTGATTGGTTAGATTATGACCGGAGATGGTCTTAGAACACTTATGTGTTTAAAGAGGAGAACATATTTTATTATTATTGTAAAAGGAAAAGGAGTATAAATCGTTGACTTTCTTGAAAGTCAATAGTTCAAGTCATGAAAAGTATGTATGAGTTTATCGACATTACTGTATATAAATACTTAAAAAATCTGTAAAAAAGTAATATTTGTTGTTTAATATGCTTAAGAATAGGTCACGGTTTTCATCATAGATAATCTTTCTTTTCTATGTTTTATATCGACTTTTATCCAACTATGAGATGGAAAATGCATTTAACAAAATCTCATTTATGCTTTTTGATATATTATGCTTTCAAAATGATTACATCTACTCTAATTCGATATGTTTCTTGAAAGTTTGTCATTCCTGATTATCAAGAAACATCGTTTTATCTTATAATACATGCAATTAAGCTTCTTAAAAAGTAATAAAACAACACTTCAATCTTGAATTACAAATGGATCTTTCTATGATACGATAAATTTCCATTTCTCAAGATTATCGCACGATTAACAAGTAGCTAGTATTAGGAGTATAAATCATATATATGTGTACTAAGCTAAGTTCATACAACCTATATAATATGTTATGATTGATACACATATTTTGAGGAAAAGCTTTATCAACGACAAGGAATCATTCGGTACCGAAAACAATGCATGACATTGGACAAGCACTATTGATATATGCCGGACGAGGACCAGTTGGAAAGGAAATTTCGTACGTTTCAAGTTAGAAAGTCAAATCAATTGTCGGTCTCTCAATTAAATGTATAATATTAATTTCAATATTTATTATGTTTTATTTTGGAAAAAAAAGTATTAAATGATGGAAATGACTACTGCACGTTGTCGGTGTTATACTATTTTTTTAAATTACGTTTGAAAGTATATGTTCCTCTTTTTTTAATAAAAAGAAATATAAGGAGCAAAGCATGTAATAGATTTTACGTTATTAGTGGTACATACCTTTTTAGTAGTTTCAGGTGGATTTGTATAATTAATTACTTTTTATGGTTATAACTGCTTAACAATTAGAATAATATTCATCCAAATTACAAATTACGACCATAAATTTAAGCATCTACTCAACATACTAATCCAAAGCATGTAATTGCCTTACTCATCTTAAATAAGAGATGACTTAGATTTTTCCTAAAGTACATTTTTTCCTTTCCGTCGATGCTACGGACTATGCGTCCATTCAGATGCACACTAAGTGTCTAACGAGCCAATAACTTTCTAAAACATTCTCAACATAAATTTATGAATATACACATCTCAAATATCATGAGCAGATGCAATGCAATGCAAATTCATTGTTAAAAAATTAACATTTAGAACTTGTGGTGGCAAAACATAATTCGTCTTGATGTATATTTGTTTCTCACCACGTACATCAGGCTATCGTAAAACATTCAGCCTGATATTGATGATTCTCAACACGTATATTGCCGTCATCCCCATACGTATAGAGGTACCTCTCACCATGGATACTGGCCATCATAATAATTGGTTTCTATATCACAGATAGTATCCTACAATTTTCATTGGCACCCTGACACATGATGCACAAGTATCAAAACATCTCATACATTTCATAGATTTCGTTTGTGCTCAAGTTCACATGCATTGAGCTCATAGTATAACCCACTACATAACATAACAAGTAGTCAGTGACGGATCCAGAAATTTAGGTGACTGGGGTCCTAAGGATATAAAGAAATCCAAAACCAAGTAACTCATCCATACGAAAACGCTTTCGGGTGATCCGGTTTGGGTTAAATGGTTCAGTTAACCAAATTAGTTAATTTATATAATTTCCTTCCAAATGAATTTGTTTGATCATGTTATTACATAGGTGAATTGATTTATATCTAAACTAAAAGAACAAGATATTGAGATGTATTTAAAAAAATCGGTAGACGTTAATTTTAACATTAGGTGAATTGATTTATATTTAAACTAGGGAGTGGGGGGTTTGTCAGAATGGAGTGGTCATTGGAAGAAACCATCAAAAATGACTGATCAGAACTTAAGGACATAAAATAAAAAGAAAAAAAATTACCTAGATTATTTTAAAATTTTGACATTTTAGTGTGTCCTTTCCCCCACCTTTTCTGATGTGAGGGTCAAAATGCTACGGCTTGCTTATACTCTTGCAAGCAAGGCGAGAAAGAAAGAATTTCGAAACGATCATGTCAAAGACACTTCGGGATCAAATATAGGCGGTCAGGAGGGACAAAAGAGAGATGATGCTTCTTTGCTCATTTCCTTCGCTTTGCATGTAGTGTAAATGAAAAACTTTACTTCAACATATTTGCATATATGCATGCAAAAGAAAGTTCAAAAATAAGAAAGATAAAAAGATTGAGAACCTATGAATAAATTATTCATAAATGAATATTTGGTAAATCCAAAAAAAATCCAATTGACGATACATAAGTGAACCCCCATCACTTACCTACTTTTCAACAATTATTCACATTTACACACACATGTCTGCACACACACACACGAACACACATATATGCGCACACGTGTGTGTGAAAATCCACATGTCATTTAACTTACCAATGATTCACATGTGAATGACTTATTCGTACGTTTTAAACTTTTTTGCCTTTCTTACTTGAACTTTCCTAGAAGTATGAATCCAAGCTTTGTAAATCACATGAACCACAATGGTGTGTATGCCCTTTTGTCTTGTTTCTTTGTAATGTCTATCGACTTTATATGGTCAACACAAAAAACATTTTTTTTTTAATTTTAAGTACATTTTTATCTTGGTAAGAGCCTCTTACCCAGTAAAAAGGTGATAAGAGGTTATTAAAACGAATCCTAACATTATGAAATACGTAATCTAACATGTTCCAAATTGACTGAATGATAACCAAATTGTTCAAACATTGAATACATATAAAAACCTCAAGATTTCTCATGCTTTTAGGAAGTTTAGAATATTATTATTTACAAAATATTCTTGTTATTCTAAAGAATAAATCATGAATTATATTAAAATTATAATCGATTCTAGTAGAGTTTTAATTACAAAATCGATCTACTGTCTCGGTCTCACATTAAATTACTTAGAACCAAAAATCAATATATATATATATATATATATATATATATATATATATATATAGGGGTGGGTTCAAAT